ATCAGTTTCAACCGCGGCTGAATCTGGATGCCAGTTCTGACTTACATACAGATTCAACTTAAGAAACCCAGGCGTCCCCAAGTCAGCTGCTGCTGAAACTGATCAGCAGCTGATTCCAGGAAGCCCGGGGCAGAGCAACTCTGCCTCGGGCTTCCTGTAGTCAGCCGCTGGTCAGTTTCAGCAGCGGCTGAATCTGGACACCAGTTCCGACTTACATACAGATTCAACTTAAGAACAAACCTACAGTCCCTATCTTGTACGTAACCCGGGGACTGCCTGTACATCCATTTAAAAATAAGTCACTGAAAATTTAAAGTACATCAAGAGAATAATTATAGCTGTCTGATAATATAGATCAAGGCAGAGCTCATTTTCCATCTGAAGCAGCTAGAAAGTAGGAACATTCCAAATTTTTGTAAAGCAAGTTCTTATTATGTGAACTCTTGATATCCTTGCTCATCCATTACATTGAGGTCAAATGAGTTTGCACCAAGTAAAAACCAGACAGAAATAAATAGTAAGGACTTCAAGATTTTGTTCATTATTTTTAAAGTTAGACAGATTCCAGTGTCTTAACTGATGTGAAGTTACGGTAAATAGTAATCTAAACAATTTTCCTACAAAAGCACTGGGAGTCTTTATTGCTTTCCATACAAGGAGTTGGATTTTGTCATTTTCTTTCCCTCCCAGGATATCATGGCTCTGTACACGTTTCATTACATGATTCAAAACCAGAACAAACTTGCCTAATTTCACATTGTATTCAAAACAAGAGACTCATGTGAGACCAACTGATGGGTTGGGTTGTGCCCTTGAGTGTGTGTAGGGCTTTATCAAATTCACAGCAATGAAAAAACAGACTATGGGTCATGAAAGCCTTGTATGCTTTTACCCTATAGTATACCAATTCCAATTCTCAAACTGGAGGTCCTGAGCCAAAAAGGATTTGCAGGAATATTGCAAGGTTTTTTTATAGGGGATCACGGTATTGTTACCTTTACTTCTGCGCTGCCGTCAGAGTTGGTCGGCAGGAGAATGGTGGCTCTTGGCTGTGCATCCAACTCTCAAGATAGCACCCTGGAAGCAGTAACACACAAGAAATCCTTACTTCTGAGCTACTGCCTGCATAGCTTGGAGGTCAGAGAGTGGCAGCTACAGACTGAGAGTCTAGCTCGGCAGTTAGCAGTGCACAAGTAAGGTTGGCAATACCATGCAATGCCATCCTTACTTCTGTGCTGCTGCTGGCTCTGCTTTTAGAGCTGGACTTGTAGCCAGCAGCTGCTACTCTCCAGCTGCCCAGATCTGAAGACAGCACTACTACCAGCAGCAGTGAGATAGTGAGATATGTCTTGCGGTTGTTGGTAAGAATCATCCTGAGATTAGGTGGTTGTCTATAGGAGACCATGGGTCTGTCTTCCAGAGTCTATTGGAGTGTAGTCTCCTACAGACAGCCACCTAACCTCAGGATGATTCTTACTAACAACAACAGGACATACCTCACTAATACCAACCCTGGAACTTGCCCTTGCAACAAACCCCGTTGCCAGCTTTGTCCACATATTTATTCTGCTGACACCATCATTAGACCTAACCACGTCAGTTACAAGATCAAGAACACATATTCTTGCTCATCCAGAAATATAATCTACGCTATCATGTGCCGAAAGTGTCCGTCTGCTATGTACATTGGACAAACATCTCAGACACTTCGCCAAAGGATTAATGCCCACAAAACAGATATCAGACAAGATCACAAAGAGAAAACAGTTTCTTGCCACTTTAACCAGAAAGGACACTCTCTAAATGACTTAGCCACCTGCATTCTGCTACAAAGACCTTTTACTTACATCTGCACTTGAAAGGGAATCCTCTGAACTGTCATTCATGTTAAAATTCGACACTTACCAACAAGGACTTAACAAGTCTTTGAACTTTCTCACCCATTACCAAGACAGTTTCCCCAATTATCACCTGTAATACCATTAACTCACAAACATCCCACTCTCCCTACCTTTAATATCAGCAATTCACAGACACTTACCTTCCTTCCTCCCCCTTCCCACCCCCCCGCATCCCCCTTCTGTTCTGCAATGTGATTTGTCCTTTTCATATTTGTTCATTTTTTTTAATTGTATCCTTTGGTATATATGGTTGTGACTACTTTCTTCCACTATTTGATCTGAGGAAGTGGGTCTGGCCCACGAAAGCTCATCATCTAATAAACCATCTTGTTAGTCTTTAAAGTGCTACATTGTCCTGCATTTTGCTTCAAAAAGGAGATGGACGGTCAAACCACATTAACGTAAAGTTTTGTGCTTGTGCTATCTAAAAGGCATACTACAAGGAACACACAACAAAATGTTTATTTCTTAAAATTCCATGGAAAATCTTAGAAGGTCTTTGGGGCCTGTCTTTGTTTTTATATAATGCCTAGTATGTTGTATATACTACTGAAAGCATAATAAAAGTAAGTACAATATTATTTTATATATATTTTATGATGGGTTGGATGTTTATATTTTACCCGGAGAAATGCGGACATTTATGGCCACATGGCAGAGGCCCTGGCCCAGAAAGGACACTACCCCCGCACCCAGGACCAGGTGCACTCCAAAGTTAAGGAGCTGCGCCAAGGATATGTGAAGGCCAGGGAGGATTAGCTCCCGTTCTGGGGCAGCCCCTATTATACTACCCCTACTCCTGCCCCATTATACTGAGCTAGACCACATCCTGGGTGGTGGTGAAGCACGCACACCACGGCGTCTCGTGCAGTCAGGCTTAGCGGACCCTGTGGTGGACGCGCCAGAGCAGGACCCAGAGCAGTCTGGAGACGGGGACATGGTGCCAGAGGAGGACATTGAGGAGACGGCGACCCTCACCCTGGAGCCAGTCACACAGACCCCAGAGGCCTCCCAGATGTCATCTGATGCCAGAGATGAAGCAGCAGGTGAGTGCAGTGAGGTTGTGTAACACCCGGGGGAGGGGGAGGGTAGGTGGGTGCACAGTAGGTGATGCACAAGGGAAACCTGTAATGCTCAGGCTGATGCCCAGGTCACACACAGTGTTACCTTCAGAATGTCTGATTCCCCTGTCTCAAGGAGAGGGCATGCCCTTTTGGACAGCTGTTGCACTCATGACTGATTGTGATAGAAATGTAGCCGTGTTACTCTGATCTGAGGAAGTGGGTCTGGGCCATGAAAGCTCATCCCCTAATAAACCATCCTGTTAATATTTTAAGTGCTACATAGTCCAGTTTTTTATCACTGATTGTGTCTTCCTCTTTTCCTCAACAGCCGGACCAGCCATGTAAGAGGGCCGCAGCACCCCAGCCCCACCTCCATCTCAGGGACATGGGAGCCGCAGACACAGGCATGTGTATGCGGACATCCTGAGGCAGCATGTGGAGGCAGTGCAGGAGCTCAACACCATCCTGCGAGAGAGGGTGGAGGCAGAGGATCGGTGGCATGACTGGCTGATGGAGGAGCTGGTCCAGCAGCGCACGTCCCTGTGTGCCAGTCTCAGGGAGGTTTGTGGCTTGCCTGTTCCTGTGCCTGGTCCTGCTCCTCCAGCACCCCATGACCCCGACCCACCAAACCCCCCCTCCACAGCAGCATCCCTTTCCTCCCCGGCCCTCCTCTCCCCCAGGCCTCCCAGTCCCAAGAGCACCTACCCACTGTTATCCAGCCAACCAACAGGCGTACCACCCGATCCCG